ATATGTGCATACAGTGTTTGGGGCAATTTCTCCCCTCAACCCCCTGTCCCCGTCCTCTCCCTCCCACCCCTCTTGCTTCCAGGCAATTTTGTTGAACAGAAGACATAGCAATAATAAGAAAGACATACTGCTTTTGCTAGTTTGAGATAAATATCTATGCAGAGAGATTCCTAGCATTGCTTCCATGCACACGTGCATTACAACCTGAATTGGTTTATCTCTACCTGACGTCTTCACTACATCCCAGTCATCTTCCCATAGTGGCTTCTGCCAGTTTTAGGTTTCTGCATTAGCTCCTCTGCAGTGGGCACATCAAACACTTTCAAGTTTTGGGCTTCCTACCTTTCCCTATTCCTCCTGTATGTGTCCTCACCTTAGCATGTGACCCATGTCCAATAATATTACTGCATTTGCTTTAGGTTTAAAGTCCGCATATGAGGGAGAATATGCGACTTTTTGGCCTTCTGAGCCTGGGTAACTTCACTTAAGATGATGTTCTCCAGTTCCATTCATTTACTTGAGAATAACAAAATTTCATTCTTCTTCATGGCTGAGTACAATTCCATTGTGTATAAATACCACATTTTCTTAATCCATTCATCAATAGTGGAGCATCTTGGCTGTTTCCATAACTTGGCTATTGTGAATAGTGCTGCAATAAACATGGGTTTACAGGTGCCTCTGGAGTAACCTGTGCTGCATTCCTTTGGGTATATTCCCAGGAGTGGGATTGCTGGATCAGATGCAGGTCTATTTTACATTTTTAAGAAGTCTTTGCCCTGCCCCTTTCTCTGGGGCAGGTTCAGTGTTCTGTCAGCCCCCTCTTACTGTCATGTGTTATGATGGTTTACTATTTGTTATTCAGTTTTGCTGGGCAATTCAGTTTTGGGTGCTGCTCACTGGCTCAGGAGATGAGCTCTGTGATCCTTTTTTTTTTTATTCATATGTGCATACAATGCTTGGGTCATTTCTCCGCCCTGCCCCCACCCCCTCCCTTACCACCACTCCTCCCCCTCCCTCTGCCCCTACCCCCTCAATACCCAGCAGAAACTATTTTGCCCTTATTTCTAATTTTGTTGTTGAGAGAGTGTAAGCAATAATAGGAAGGAACAAGGGTTTTTGCTGGTTGAGATAAGGAAAGCTATACAGGGCATTGACTCACATTAATTTCCTGTGCATGTGTGTTACCTTCTACGTTAATTCTTTTTGATCTCACCTTTTCTCTAGTTCCTGGTCTCCTTTTCCTATTGGTCTCAGTTGCTTTTTAAGGTATCTGCTTTAGTTTCTCTGTTTAAGGCAACAAATGCTAGCTAATTTTTTAGGTGTCTTACCTATCCTCACCCCTCCCTTGTGTGCCAAAGCTTTTATCATGTGCTCGAAGTCCAATCCCATTGTTGTGTTTGCCCTTGATCTAATGTCCACATATGAGGGAGAACATACGATTTTTGGTCTTTTGGGCCAGGCTAACCTCACTCAGAATGATGTTCTCCAATTCCATCCATTTACCAGCAAATGATAACATTTTGTTCTTCTTCATGGCTGCATAAAATTCCATTGTGTATAGATACCACATTTTCTTAATCCATCATCAGTAGTGGGCATCTTGGTTGTTTCCATAACTCGGCTATTATGAATAGTGCCGCAATAAACATGGGCTGTGCAGGTGCCTCTGGAGTAACCTGTGTCACAGTCTTTGGTATATCCCCAAGAGTGGTATTGCTGGATCAAATGGGTAGATCAATGTCTAGCTTTTTAAGTTAGCCTCCAATTTTTTTCCAGAGTGGTTTTACTAGTTTACATTCCCACAACAGTGTAAGAGGGTTCCTTTTCCCTGCATCCTCTCCAACACCTGTTGTTGGTGGAGTTGCTAATGATGGCTATTCTAACAGGGTGAGGAGGAATCTTAGTGTGGTTTTAATTTGCATTTCCTTTATTGCTAGAGATGTGGAGCTCTGTGATCCTTTACCTGCCCTGCTTTGGGAGTGGCTTATGACCCACCCACTCTTGGCCTTCCTTTGGTCTTCTGCTGTTCCTGTGTTTGTTTACTGAGAGTTGGGTGCTGAGTCCAAGCTTCTTGCCCTCCCCGTATCTCCAGGGCACATTCAGCTTGCTGCCCCCTCTGGTTGTGCTAGATAACAGTTTGCTGTGATTCAGTTTGTTGTAGGATTGGGGTCATCTGCCCAGTGGGCTGTGCTATTTTATTGTTCCCAGGGGTAGCTAGGGAGTTCCACATGATGCATGATGCTTACCTGCTTGTTTCAAATGATGTGCAGGCAATTTGCGGCCAGTGCAGTGATGGTGGCAGTGGCAGCAGGGAGAAAATGGCTACTATTATCTCAGTGCAACCTGATATTGGAAACTTTTCCAGTCTAGGGGTTCAGGATGTAGAAGGTTGATTCTGCTGGTGCTCTATTTCTGCTTGATGGAGGAAGAAGAGAAGGAAAGAAAAAAGAAAAGAGGAAAGAAAAAAAATCACCATAGGGAAGGAGGGTTTCCCCAGGGCTGGACCCTCCTTGCAGGCTGTGCAGTGGTTGCAGCTGTTAGGTGCAATTAAAGGCTATTTTGAGGGTCAGTCTTTGGATTTTTTTCCTGCACCAAGTGTGATGGCAGTTATTATTCTGGTTATTCAGACTTAACCCAGGTGTGGCCTTGAATTTCTCAGAGATTTGGAAGTCATGGAAGTTAGGCTTTCTGCTTCTGTGCTCTAGTCACCATCTTGGATCTCTCTTTTCCCAGGTTTTTTCCACTTTAAGTTTTGTCTGAGTGACTTAGTGTTGTGTTTAAGTGTGTATTACTTTTTAAATTAGGGAAATATTGCATAAACACATATATTTTACATAAGCTTGGTAGTGTGAAAGCAAAATCATTATATTTAGTTATTATGTCCCTCTGAATGGGGTAATATTTTCTATGTCATTTTATCAGGTACTACCTTGTGGCATTTGTCCCTTGTCCTTACACTATAAAAACATGTATTAACTCCTCCACTGGAATCTAAATTACTGAAGACATGTCAAATAGACTTGGCTTTAGTATACCTTGAAATTACTAGTAGCAGTTGTAGTACCAGCACATGGAACATAAATAAAAGTTAATAACTAGTGTCACCAGATCTAATATATCAGAAAGTTAAACTATTTAAATCTTGAGTTGCTGAGCAAGAATGGACGAAAGGGCTGGGGGTGCAGCTCAGTGGCAGAACACTAGCATATTGCAAGGCCCAGGGTTCAGTCCCAGGACTGAAAAAAAATAGAAAGACACATGGGACAATAGAAACACCCTCCAAAGAGAAACTTATAAATAAAAGAATTTGTATCAATAGCAAAAGTGCTAATTTAAGCAGAAAAGACAACAATTAGTCACCAGTTCAATCTGGGACAATTGGTTTAGATTCTAGTTCATACCATACAACAGTGGTGCAAATACAGTGTACTCATGTGTGTAAATGAAAAAAACTGAGACCTGTTGAAACTATTCCAGGAATGGGGAGGAGGAGATAAAGGAGAATGATGGAGGGTGTGAATTCAAACTATGATACATTGTAAGAACTTTTGTAAATGATACAATGAACTCCAGGACAATAATAGAAAAAATTAATCAATCAATAATTTTTTCAAAAAGAGTTAAATGTTTACAAGTCAAATTTTAAAAATCCAGAAAAGGATAATAAATGTTTTGGTTTCTATAGAGAGAATTTTTCAAAATACAGAAGCAGAATAAATAACAGATATTTTTACAAACCAAGATTTAAAATATGCATAATTTCATCAAAATTCAACAAGACAAGTTCAGTTCACTTTAAGGTGTAAAGAATTCATATACATTAACAAGAAAAACAACAGGAAGACAATAGTTTCACAAAATTGTGACTGAAGCATTCCACAAAAGGGAAAAACATAACTCATACATGTGGAAATCCAAGGATCATTTGCATTGACAGAAATACTAATGGAAGAAAAAATGAGCTTTTTTGCCTCAGAAATTGATTTAATGTTACCATCAATTTAAATGGAATAAATGATAATAAAAACATTCTATTATTCTTCTAGTAGTAAGTCAGGTGATTCAACCTTTCTAGAAAGAGACTTGGAAATGACTCAGCCCTAAGAATGTCTTATCTTTTCCTAACAATTTTCACTGAAAGAAGCCAAGGAAGTAAAACTTATGAATGAAAGTGTGCACCACAATATCCCTTATAATATAAAAACAATGGAAATAATTCCATATCAAGTAATTATGATGAATAAATAGGACACATTCAAATCATTGCATATAGTGATTTAAAATTATGTTAAAAAATTTTTGAGGCTTTAAATACTATTTTTAATTATCTTATCATGTTGTACTGGGGGTACATTGTGACATTTGCAAAAGTGCTCACAATATGTCTTAGTGAAAATTCACCCCTTCCACCATTCTCCCTTGTCTCCCCTGCCCCCATTCTTAGTTTCAGTGGGTCTCATTTTTCCATTTTCATATGTAAGTACATAATATTTCTACCATATTCACCCTCCTTTACCCTTTCCTTATATTTCTCCACCTCCCACTAGTATCCACCACTGAACATGATCTGTTTTGCCTTCCTGTCTTGTTTTTGAAAAAAGATACTTTCATTTGTTTAAGATATGTATACAGAGTTTGTTATGACATTTCATGTATAGTGTATTTATCCTGAAATGTTCATCTCCTCCATTTTCTCCTTTCTACCTTAGTCCTCTTCTTGTTGATTTCAACAGGTATAAAAAATTCTATCTTCATTCTTGTATAGAATCAACCATGTTCACTTTCTTTACTTCCTTCTTTTACCATGCCTTCCCCTTGTGCCCTTCCCTTAGTGTGACCTGCTTTCATTCTTGTTCTTCGTTGTTTAGTGTCTGTTGTTGTCATGGTGTTTGCTTTGTATTTATGATACTGTAAATGCACCGTGCTTAAGTCAATGTAATATCCTTCCACAGCACTTCCTCCCTTTTCTTTCCTATCCTGTGTGTTTAACAGTTTCATCATGCAACTTTGGAAATCACAAGAAACTTTACATGAGCGTAAATAGTAATTTCATAAATTGATGGATGTATTAGCAAAAACATCAGAGTGTACACACTTAGATAAAAATTAAAGTAGATAAAATTGTTTCAAATAACTAGAAGGAAGCATACTAAATTCCAGCACTTTATGGTTGAAATTAAAGATGCCTTTTTTCTTTTATGACTTCTAGTTTTAAAAATTATAACAAAGTAGCAGTCATTTTTATAATCAGAAAAAATAAGTGTTTAACCACCAAATATTATTTTCGAAGACAATCACATGCGTCAGGGGCAGACATGCCTGCCCCAAAAAAAAATTCTCCTCTTTCAATTGAAGAAG